TTTTTTTTTCGCCAGTTTCTCACGAAATCTCCCCCAGCGCCTCCTCACCACCACCACTAATTGCAAGCGCCACCACTACACACTCTTCTCCACATCAATAAGGCCGTACTCACTGAATACGTTGTTGTTGTTGTTGCTGTTGGTGGCCAAGCAGCTGCTGCATCCACGTGCCTTCCCTAATGTTACTGCGGCGGCCACCACTTGTCAACGGTGGGAGACTTCCGCTGTCCCTGTCATCATCGCGGTTTGGCATTTCGTTACGGGCACTCGGCCGACTGACAACAGCCGACCGTGACGACGGCAGCGTGTTGATCTTACGGTCATCCGGGTGAGTGGGTGACGGTGTGCGTGATGGCCGGCGTGCCCGATGCATGTAATTGATGGCATACTTTGAAGAGCGTACGGCATCGTACGGCCTCTTCCCCTCCCAAAGGCCAGCGCGGCGTGGAGAACTGGGCTGATTTACGTTAGTTCTATCAGCCAATGAATTTTTACTTGATGCCGTGTGTGTGGGTACTGTGTCGTTGCTGACGATGTTATCCTCACCGTGGGTATGTCGGCGGGGGCGTGATCCGCGTCCGTTTTGCCGCAGCGGTTGCACCTCGTCAATGTTCTCTGGGAGTACTTGACTTGCAATTAGCGATCGCACGTGTGCACCGCTTTCAAATGGCGGCATATCCATCAACTGCGTGTGGCGACGGCGGCGAACAGCACTTAGGCGCCGCTGCCGCCGCCGGTCCCTCGCCGCGTCGGACAAGGCGGTGCTGGGCGTCTCGGGACAGGGACTAGTAGAATCAGTGTCATCTAAGGTGGTGATGTTGGCCGATGCGGGGCCCATCACGGGTGTGCGGGTGTTTTCCGGTCGACTGTTGTATGTGGCGGTACCGTTCTGCGTGGCATTCGTGGAGAATGGGTGGCTTTCACCCTCTACTTTCCTCGAAAATTCTCGGCCGGTGGCGCATAATGGAGTTCGATTCCTGCTACATGGTCTCTCATCCATGTAGGACAGACGTCGGTTGAGGGTTTGCTGTTTGTCCACAATCTCGTTGAGTATCGCCGCACGCCCCACCGTTTCGAGTCGTTGCAGCTTTCGCCGCTGCGATTCTTCCTCCTTCAGGAGAAGCATCCGCTTTGGATGTCGGTGCACCTCCTCATCCACCTGCTGTTGCTGATGCAGTCCCAGTCCGTAACTTGGCGCAGCTATAGCGGCAGGCGGCTCGGCGTCACGAATCTCCCCCACAGTCGCACCGCGGGCGGACGGTGACGCCAAAAATGTCGTTCTTTCGACCTGGCGTGACGGCGCCAACCGTCTTCTGCTTGGATGAACCGCCGACTCTGCCTGTACAACCAGCACAGCAGGCTTCACCGCGTGGAGCTCTACCGTTCCCCGCACATTCACCTCCAGTTTCAAAGCTGAAGTGGCATCCTTAACATCTGGTGGCCCCTTCACCACCTTCCCTACAGGTGGTTGTGCGGTGCCCCCAGGCATTACTGCTGTTGCTGAGATGGGTTTTGTGGCGCCGCCCAACACTGGTTGGGGTCTTCCCGTTGGTTCTGTATCCTTCGGTGAATGTACCGCATTCTTTGATGCCGATAGGCGTTTCGTCTTCGCCCTCTCTTCAGCCTCCCGTCGCAGGGCTTCCGCCCGCCGCTTGGCCTCCTCGCTTACGCTCAGTCTGTTGTTATTACTCACAGTCACTGCAGTCCCACCGCCACCCGATGCATGTGGAGGTGTGCTGTGAGATTGTGGCACTGCAGATGCTGCTGCTGCAAGTGCTGTTGTTGTTGTCGTCGTCGTCGTCGTTGGTGGTGGCGGTGGTGATGCGACTGGGGCCGCCATCGTTTTTGCCGATGTGCAAATAGGTATGGCTCGAACAACACCACCACTACCAGCTCCAGCACCAGAAGGGGCTGCTGCAGGCACAGTCTTATTGCCGGAGGTGGGGATGGGCGGCGTCTTTCTCTGAGTCGTGCTATCCACTGTTTTGACATGTACTGGGCCACTGGGAGGCACCACTCGTTGCATCCCTGCGCCAATGTCAGGCCCGACCGGCGCCTTCTTCGCTGCTCCAACGTTGGCGGGCGAAAAGACTTGTATGACTTGGATGTTACATGCCCGTGGCTTCTGCGGCTGCTGNGTTGGCGGGCGAAAAGACTTGTATGACTTGGATGTTACATGCCCGTGGCTTCTGCGGCTGCTGTTGTTGTTGTTGTTGTTGTTGCGGCTGTTTTTGTTGTTGCTGCGCGTGGATCGTGCCCCTGCCTTCGCCGTTGCCTGGTCCTCGTATATTACTGCCTATGATCTCTCCCATTTTCGGAGAAGCAGCCTCAGATATATTGCAGGCTGGACGCACCCCTGGCACGGTTGGTCGATGAGGATTATTGAGCGGATTGCCTTCCTTATTCAGATCCCCCCTATGTGCTTCATCTGTCGCTGCGGCCGTCTTGTCGGGCGGCGTCGGCTGGGCCTGCTGCCTCTTTGGGGGCTGGCCCGTTGTGGGCAAATTGTCGGCACACACCTGCGGCAACTTTCGCGCATTGTCTGGCGGTGTCGGCACTTTATCCGGATCTACAGACTGCTTTGTATTGTAGCCCCTTGGCGACATCGCGCCGTTGGGGCCATCTAGATGTATAATATTCTCTTTCACTACCATATTCAAGTGCTGTTGTTGTTGCTTTTGCTGCGGTTGCTGTTGCTTCTGCTGCTGCTGCTGTTGCTGTTGCTGTTGCTGTTGCTGTTGCTGTTGCTGTTGCTGTTGCTGTTGCTGTTGCTGTTGCTGTTGCTGTTGCTGTTGCTGTTGCTGTTGCTGTTGCTGTTGCTGTTGCTGTTGCTTCTGCTGATGCTGATGCTGATGTTGTTGCTGTTGATGTTGCTTTTGCTGCTGCTGATGCTGATGTTGTTGCTGTTGATGTTGATGTTGCTTTTGCTGCTGCTGCTCCGGTCTCAACATGCCTCTTTGAGGAATCAATCTGAGCACATTCCGCGGCACCGCTGGGGAGCCGTTGGCGTTGTTCGTGCTGCTGTTGTGGGCCGATGCATGGCATGTGGTGGCGGTGTTGGTGGTGTCGTTGCTACTATTATGTACGCTGGCATCCCAGCCGAACTCCGCGGGTGACACGTTCAGGTGCTCGACAAGAGCAGTACTCGCCAGAGAAAAGCCGTTGCGGTCCCACGGCCCACTTGTCGAAAAGCAGTTACTGCTTTCCGCCGGACCAAGTGGCATGCGCAGAAAGACGGGCTCATGACTGGGAGTGTACAGCGTCTCTGAGCATTCCTCATCGGAGGTGTACGATGACGTACCGGTGGTGTACTCGGAGCTGTACTCCTCGTCGTAGGCGTACGAGGACGCACCGGTATCCACTGTTGATGGCACTGGTGACTCATGTTGCTGGCGTCGCTGTCGTGGCTGTTGTTGTTGTTGTTGAGGTGGTTGAGGTTGGGGCTGTGGCGCACGCGGCGGCCGTGATGCGAGCGGGGGTGGTCCACCCGGTGCGGCGCGCATGCTTGGCAAGCTAGGATGAACAAAAAAGTGAACAGGGTCACGGTGTATTTCCGAAATTCCCACTGCGTGTGTTTACTCCCCCTCTCTTTCCTGGTGTTTCTGCTTCTTTTATTTCTGTTATTCAGGGCCTCTCCCACCCCCAAGGAATACTCTTACTCGTGTGGCCCACGAACGCCTGTCTCTCTCGCACAGGTTGGTCTACTGAGTTTAATGCACGCACACCCGGTGAGCGGGACTGCAGAAGAGAACAGAATAGAACAAAGAGCAGGATGGAAGAAGATCTCTCTCTCCATATATATATATATATATAGATATAGATATTTACAGGCATATGTACGGGGCAGCGACACAGTGAGAGAAGTGAAAGGGGGAAGGGATGGAACACGAACAAAACGGCCGTCCGAGGCACAGCCGACACACACATGCACCTCACTATCCACCAGCCCCAGCAGCGCGTATGCACGGCAAGGCAGAGCAAGCCTCAAAAAAAAAAGGGAGCGGAAACGGTGTAGAACGTATTGGCTGGCTCTGACTCGCAGCAGCCACATAGCCGTGTTCCGCAGCGGGGTCCAATGTTGCCGCATTCTTCACGGCCACACAAAGACGCTCAGTCGCCTAGAGCCGCTGCACCTTGTGGCGGCAAGTCCCCCCACCACCTCTTCTCCCATGCCGATTCAGAATAGGTTCAAATCCTTCCACTCTTTTCGCTGCCGCTCCAACTCCGTCGCGAGTTCAGCGCGCTCCTTTGTCTCGCGCTCCACACGCTGTTTCTTCCGTGCCGCCTCCTCCGCAAGCCGGGCGGCCTCTAGCTGCTGCTCCACCAGCTGGTCGCGCCGCCGCCGCCGCACCCGCTCCTCCTTCGACAGATTCGCCTCGTCTGCGGAGCCAGTAACACCGCCACCGCCGCTGCTGCTCATTGTGGTGGCACTAGCCTGGCGCCGGGCCGCCTCTTCCTTCAGCGCGGCCTCCTTCTCCTTCTTTTTCTGGTGTGCAATCTTAAGCCGTACGAGAATGGCCTCGTTGCTGAGCAGCTTGTGTGCGTTCTCCGCGACGTGGAACGCGTCTGCGGCCTTTGCGAGTGTGCACTTGTCGGGGTGGACCTTAAGCACGATCTTGCGGAAGCTGCGGTTGATGTCGGCCAGCTCGCACGACTGAGCATCCAGTTGCAGAATGGCAAAGGCATCGGCTTTCGTGGCGGCGCAGTGCAGCAGCCGCCGTATCTCCTCCGCATGCTCCTCCTGCCCGCCCATTCTTACCCCCCTTGGTGTCGAAACAGACTGTAAAACAATGAAATAAAAAAAACGGAGACACACACAGAGAGAGAACATTGAAAGAAAGGAAGGTACACACGCGCAGGAGGACGCATACATATCAACACCATCATTATCATCAACATATATGTATAAGCACAGTTCCCCCAGACTGCACCGTGTGTCTCTTTGGTACACACGGTGGGGTAGACAAACCAGGATGGAGTGTGAATAAAACTAACTGCAGGAAAAAGAGGGGGTCGTCATTCAGCACGCAGTAGCAACAATTAGGGAATACGCATCAAAACTCGGCCCATTCCGCCTGCTCCATCTCCTCATTCAATCGTCACTTGGTGATTTTTTCCTCACCGCTACAGCAGGTTGACAGACATGAATATCTGCTTGAGAATATGCGGTAGCGCGTTTGTCTCCATGCACTCAAAACCGTGCCCAGTCGGCAGCTCCGCCTGCAGGTCCGATGCCTGCTCGCCAAGCGTTGCAATGAAAATGCAGAACATCTGCACCTCCCTGTGGCTCCGCATGATTGTGCTCAGCTCGCGCGGATCAATGCCGTAGCGCGGCAGGTTCGCGTCGCTGATCACAAATACAAGGTAGGCATCGCCCTTTTCCGCCGTGACGTGCTCGATACTCTTCCGCATTGCCTCTACGGTGTTGTCGCCCGACCAGCAGTACTGTGAGTGGGCGACCATGCGCTGACACACCTCCATGCGCGCCTTCTGGTTGAGCGGCGGCTGCCCGAACGGCACCAGCTCGATGCACGCGCTGTCGCCGTTATGGCCGGTCATCGCGTAGTCAATCTTGTCCTCAAAGCCGGCGAAGGCCTCCATCACCATGACGGTGGACTCCAGTAGCTTCGTAAGCCGGTGGTCCATGCTCTCAAATCGGTACATGCTGGCACTCACGTCCAGCACAAACAGGAGACGTTTCTTGTGTTTGGATTTGAACGGGTTTGTATCGGTGGAATCTGCGCGGCGTTTGTATATGTTGCGCTCCCCGACAATGCCCTCCACGATCTTGCTGTCGTCCCACACGCCGTCGGTCTGGCCGCGCAGCCATATGCGTTCCCCCTCGGCCGCCTTTAGCCCACTCAGCAGGCTCCGCACCAGCGCGACCGGCGCACGCACGCGTTCCTGCAGCGCCCTGTACTGTTCGTACTCCTTCGCGGACATGCCGATCTCCCGCAGCCGCTCTTCCAACGCCGCCTTCCCCATGCGTCTCGCCTCCTCAACGATGTGCGGCGGCACCTGCTGTTTCGCCTCGGGTGAAACCTGATGCACGGGTCGCCCCTTGTCGAGTCGGTACGGCCCGATGAGGCCGCCAAGGCCGGCGGTGTCGGTGCCACCAGTGCCACCCGCGTACGTGTTGCCGCCGTGGTGTTCCTCGTCGTCTTCCTCGCCGTGCTTAAGAGTGCCGGATGGTTTCTTGCGCGGCGTGCTGTAGGACATCGGCAGTGGCTGCTGGTGTGGGTTCACCACGGCAGCACCGACCTGCTTAACAGAGCCGTCAAGCAGTGCAGCCCAGCTGCGGTAGCGGTGCTCTACACGTTCTGCCACTACATCCGCAGTCAACAGCTGCTGCTGCGCAGCGTTGTACAACAGCGCCGTCCCCGCACCTTCATCCAGAGCAAACAGAGGTTCACCAGAATGATGAACTGATGATGAAAACGATGTAGCAACAGCAGCCTCCCTTGTTCTTGTTGTTGTTGTTGTTGATGGCAGTGCAAAGCGGCGCACTGTATGTTGTTGGAAGTCGACTGCAACCACGCTGCCATGATCACTGGACTCAGCCCCCCCGCTCGCCAGCAGCTGGTAGTGAGTGTGATCAACCTGCAGCGAGGCACGGCGTGAAGCCGCAGAGCGTACTGCTGCTGCAGCTTTGGTGTCGGTGAACACCCGCATTGACCACAGCTGCTGATCCGCCAAGTACCCATCCAGAGTCATGTACACCACATCCCTGTCACTAGAGCCCTCGCCACTCGGGACAACGACAGCCCCCCGCAGCTCATCTGGTGAGAGGGGCTCTAGGAGCGTACTGCCGGACGACACAGTGGCAGTTCGCCTCCCAGCGAAGCCCACGACGGTCCCACTGACGCCACTCGGCAGCAGACACAAACTTGCCTTGGCGTTTCCGTCCGGCAGCACCGCTATTTTTAGCACGCCCTGCAGCTTCTGCGTCGACTCGGCTAAAACAAGGCGCACCGCTGCCAGGTTCTCGGTGAAGAAGTGCACCGATTCGATGCTTGCTGCGGGCAACGTCACAGCGACGCGGTGGCCGTTCATCCACACGCGCAGCTCCGCACTGCACGGCTGCGCCATGGCGACAATACCACTTTCAGGACGGACAGAAGCCACGCACGGCAATAAATCTCCAGAGAGCGATGTGAGTCGAACAGGCAACACAGCGCTCAGAGCAGCGTCTTCACGCTCCTGCTGCTGCTGCTGTGGTGTCGGCACTGCAAGAGAGTCTGTAGGGGCTGAGGCGTTGATGAGCAGCACCTGCCCCGATGGCGCGTCCACCACCGCCACAAGTGGGGCGGGGGCTCCGAAGGCGTCGTACAGCCAATCGCGGGGCACGCCGGCAAGCGAGGCGGCGTGCGCCTCGGCATTGAAGACGCACAGCAAAGGTGAGACGGCGGCGGCGGCGGCGGCGGCGGTGAAGGCATTGGGGATGAGGTCTGTCAAGTCGAAGTACTGCACCTGACCAGCAGGAAGGTCTGAAAGGCGCTTCGCTACCATCACAAGAGAGGCGACGGACGGCGGCGTCGTTACCGCGAGAAGAAGCCTTTTCTTCTTGCTGTTGGTGTCTCCGCTGTCGTCTACCTCAGCTGGGCGTGCAAAGAGAACGGCGACACTCGCAAGCGTCCCGCTGTCGCTGTCCGTCGTGGTTGCCGCTACGCCCAGCACATTGTCCTCTGGACGCAGAAATGGAAGCCGCGGCTTCGCCATCCACTCCGTGAAGCCATCCGACGTGCTACTCGGTGTCACAGCGGCAAAGTCCGCCTCTCTGTACTGCTCACGCCATGTAGGGACGGACTGCAGAGCGTACGCCCCGCCACATTCTGCTGGTGTGAGAAAACGCACAGGAAGCGGCAATACACCATTATTTAGTTGCACCGATGACGATAATGCTGACGATGCTGCTACTGCTGGCACGTGCAGTGGTTGTGGTAGCAATTTTAGAGGCAAAGGCTTTCCAATGCGCAGAGGCAGAAGCCGTCGCATGCCACCAGCGCTCATCAGTGGGCTCAGGTGTACCTGCAGCACCTCTCGGACGAGCTGCAAGGTATTCTCGTCACGTGCATCAAAATTGAAAACGTTGTTGAGGGCCTCGTAGATGCCGTCGTGGGGAAATGCCGCCATGTGCTTCACCACCGCGATGAGCTCACGCAGAGAGAAGGGGTACGTGAGGTGTCCCTCCTCGAAGCTCTTCTGCAAGCGCTGAAAAGCACCGATGAGTCGTACCAGCAGGGGATCGGGGAGGTTTGGGCCGTACGCCTTAAGCACGCGCAGCTGCGAGTGGGCGTCCGGGTTGCCCATCACATACGACGCAAACAAATCCCCACATTCGCGGTAGAAGTCATTGCCATGGAACGGGAATCCCGGTGGGTTCGCAAGCACAATGATGCGAAAGTCTGGATGCATTGTAATGATATTGTCTTGGTCCTTGTTGTTGCTTCTGTTGCTGCTTTCGTTGTTGTTGTTGTTGTTGTCGGCTGCGACGATGATGCGTGCCTTTGGGCCTCGTATCTGCCTACCGTCGCGCAGCCGCATCTCGTGGTCCTCGATGAGGCCCTTTAGGACCTGCACCACCTCCACCGGCGCCTTGTCAATCTCGTCCACGACAAGGCAGTGTCCCTGCTGCACGGCCTTGACCAGCGGCGAATCCGCCCAGACGACGCGCCCGCCTTCAACAGTGGGGTTGATAGTGAGGCTTCCCACGGTTGTGTCGCGGTGCAACTGAATGTACTGACGCGGCACCCCGATGCGCGCGAGGAAAGCGTCCACCACCTTGTTCTTCCCGACGCCCTGGTTGCCGATCAGCAGGATGTTGTTCCCCACTGCGTACTGCTTCGCAAGCCAGGCAATGATGGACTCGTGAACAGGATTGGAGTGAAAGTACGGGATGTATGGCACCATTGCCTGCTCCTTTTCCGTGTACCCACGAGTGATGCGCAGAACGGGTTTGTCATGCACCACAAAAACACGTGTCGGCGCCCCACCATCGTCACCACCCCCGCCACAAGCAACGGAACTTGTAGAGAGTGGAAGTTTTGTCAGGACATCATGACGCTTGCTGCGGCGTCCCTCCTGCAGATCGGTTGCTGCTGGTGCTGCCATTTTTCTTGTTGTTGTGGACGTGTGTTGTTGTTGTTGTTGTTGTTGTTGTTGATCCTTCGGCTCATTGTGGTCACGCACTTCGTCAAAACCGCAGGAACGCATCACCTGTCGCACTTGTCCCGCCGTCAGTGTGGCCATCAGGGGAAGCAGCAGCGCGGACTCCACGCCGGGTGTGAAGTCTTCAGGGTAGCGGACACGGAATCGAATCAGATGCAGCAGTTGTCGGAGACTCAGCTGCGGGATCTTTGGTTCCGTCGCCTGCATCTGGTCGAGCGCATCGCGCAGCAGCAGCAGCCGATCCACATCACGCATCAGCTCCACGCTTACCTCTGGTGCAACTGCAGGAGCAGTTCCCCCCTCACCACACCATGACTGCAGCTCGGCAGATGCAACCTGGGACAGGACAGTACGCAGCGCAGCCTGCGTGGGGGCAGGCATCGTCACGATGCCGAAGAGCGACGTCACCTCGTGTGTGATGCGCCAGCGGCCACGTCCCGACCCGCTACTGTTGCTACTACTGCTGCTGATATCCGCCGTTGTGAGCCGCGCGGTCGCCACGACGCGAAAGGCGGGATGAACAGGGAAGATCCGTCGTTCCCGCATCGCATCATCCGTTGCATGCATTTTCCGCTTGAGTATCTCGTACTCACGCTGTGGCTTGAGCACTGTACCGTCGTACAGACTGGCGCCCCCATCCACGAGCAGCTGCTGTAGGGACGACAGCATGCCGTGCGGCAGCTTGTCAATGCCGTCAAGGACGGCGATGTGTCCGCCCAGTGCTGCCTCCACGAGTATGCTGTTCTTCCACGTCGTGTCACCTGTCGTCGACTCGGTTGTACGGCGCTGGAAGAGGTCCTTGTTTGTCATGTCAGCGTAGAGGTACATGGTCTCTGTGCGATAGCCGAGGAGGTGGGCAAACTCGTGCAGAATTGTTGTCTTACCGCAGCCAGTGGGGCCAAGCAGCAGGATGTGCTGACCCGCAATATGGAGCTGCAGCATCGCCTGCAGCACGTGGTGGTGCGCCGGAGTGAAGACACTGCGCGGCGTGGGACAACGCGCCGCCACCACAATCGCATCCCCCGCCTTTGATGCTGCTGCTGCTGCGTTGGAATTCCCGGCCTGGCCCAAGTATATAGGGAGGCGGTATGTGCCACGGCTCCCAGCGATGCACGCTTCACCCACCACCGCAGCAGTGGGTCGTTGCCCCACAAAACGAATGTTCTCCAGACGCAGAACATCGTTGAATCCCTCTGGTTGACGTACCGCATTCGTCTTGTTGTTGTTGCTCGTGGAACGGCGTAGGGAGGCCACCTGCTCACGCAGGTTGCGGGTCGTAGGACCGCGAGCCATAGGAGAGCGTGATGCGGTGCGGCGGTTGGTGAAACGCTCCTCCTCCGTGGCAGCAGCGGCAGTGCCACCGCTTTTTTTGTCAATATAGTTGTTGTCGTTATCGTTACGGTATTCGAATGATGGGACGCCGATGTTACACGCAGCCAGCAGCTGTTCGTACTCGCGGCGACGGCGGGCAGCCTCCTCGATGTATGCGGCGCCACCGGTGGCAGTTGTCTGCTGTGCGTACAGCGGCCACGGAAAAGCACGCGGTAAAACGTCGCCGATGGGGATGTCAGGGAACAGCTGCAGTTGCCGCGACAACACAGCGAGCTCGTAGCTTCCTATGGACTGCAGCTCCCGATGCATCCCCACCGCACTTCCGCTTCTGCTGCCCACCTGCTGATCGCTGGTAGCAGCTGTTGTGGTGAACTCCCGCGTGCTTGCATTCACCTCGTCAATGGCAGTGCGTAACTTCAAAAGAGACTCAGCTGCATCAANAGGGCGCCCACCACAGCCTGTTCCCATGCCTTCCCCTGCTGAAGTATTAGTTGCTGTTACACTTAGGCGTGGGAGCGGGAGGCTCACGTAGAGGCACTGGAAGCGTGAGCGCAGCGGTGGGTCAAGTGGGTTGCCGTCGTACGGCGGCACGGGCACCGTGATGCCGACAACGCGGAAGTGCTCCGAGACGCGTATGAAGCCCATGCGCCTCATTTCGTCATGCGCTGCCGCAAGCGTCATGACATCATCCCCCTCGTTGTTCCGGTTGTTGCGGCTGCTCTGCTGTTGCTGCTCCTGCCTCCTCCTCTTGGCGGGGAGGAGTTCCTGCAGTAGCCGGTCGTAGCGCTCAGGGTGGATGAGCATCATGCCGTTCTCGAGGTGCATTTCGCGGTTCTCCAGCAGGTTGTTGATCACCGGCAGCACATTGCGTTCCACCTTCTCGAGGCCCTCCAGCAGAAGTAGCTGCCCCTCGCGTGCGGCAACCACAACGCATTGGTCATCGTACACGAGCGTGCCGTTGCGTATCTCGCGCCGCTGGCCGAGGTCGCTCTCAGTGGTGTCTCTGTTGAGCGCGAGACCCTGTAGTTCACGCCGCACGAGGCAAGAGTACGCGTGCACGAGCCACCGCAACGCCGGGCCGGGTTCGCCAACGAGACACATGTCCTGCCGCAGAAGCTCCTTCTGGCACATCCAGCGCAGGTACCGTTGTGTGGTGGGGTCTTGCAGCTGGAAGAATGCGTTTCCGCCCTGCAGCCGCAACTCATCATCATCATCATCGCTAGCATTCTTGTTGTAGTTGTTGTTGTTGTTATTGTTTTTGCCTATACTGTCCACGGCGCCGCCACTCACAGCACCGGGGTGAATCCACGCGACGCGCTCCGGGTGGGCGACGTTGGCTGGAACAGGCACCGTCACGTCGCCAATGGTGAGGGTGAGGCCGCCGCTGCCGCAATGCGTGAAGGGCCGCGTGCATGTAGCTACTGCTTCTGCTGCCTTGAAGTTATCGCTCAACATCATAGCTGTGGTCTGCAGCAGGCAACGTCTAAGCATATAACAAATTTCACTCTTCACTTTTTTGGGAGGTGTATTGGCTCGTTGTCACTCACACACGCAGCAACGTAACGATATATGTATATAGGTCTGTCTGTGTGTGTGTGTGTGTGTGTGTGTGTCGCTTCGCTACGCTATGGCACCCTGGAGGGCGAGAACCATTAAAGAAATACAACAAAAAAAAAGGCGGTTAACAGGCGCAGCGTAAGAGAAATAAAACTCAATGAAGGCAACCAACGAGTGAATATATCTGTGTGATTTTGCGTGCGTGCGTGTGAGTGTGTGTATGTGCTTGAGGGGAAGCGAGGAGGCACTGATTCACTTTCTGCATCGCAGCCCGCATCATCACTGTTGTTGTTGTTGTTGCTGGTGTTGGTGCTCACGCAAGTGGGAAGTCTTCATGTCGGTGAGTCAGCTCCCACACGCGTTGAATCTCCAGCATCGCCTCCTCCGCCTCCGCCACGTTGAAGAAGCCGAGCCTGAGCGTTACCGTTGCACCGCCATCCAAAGGGTCCAGATGCGACGCACCTCGGCGCGCAGCCTTATCGTGCTGCTTCTGTTTCTGCTGCTGCTGCCGCCCAACGCACACTACAACGCCGGTATGCTGATTGATTGAGGCGGACTGCAGTGCGGCGACAGTCATCCACCGTGAGAGCATCTCCGGGTGGTGCAGCGGCAGCTCCGTTGACAGCAACTTCGCCTCGTACCGGGGAACAACGTACAGCCGCTCCGTCGAGAGAGCAAGCTGGCAGAGGAGCGGTTTCGCCTTGTTCCTGCTAGTTGGATTTGCAGCAGGAGAGGAGTCTCTGAATTCCATTGCGAAGACTTGGTACTGAAATATCTCCGGCTCCTCAATGAGGTGGTCCTCAAGCCGCTCATGCCAGTAGTTCATGCGCGCCACGCGGAACGCGTGGCACCAGTCCTGCTGCAGGAACAACGACCCTTCGTCGCTGGTGGCATCCGGCATGTTTGACGGCGGTCGCGTGAGGCCGACATGGAACTCTCGCACCCGAAGCCCGCCACTGCCGCCGCCTTGCGTGGTGAGCTGCACATCCGTGAACACATCGCCCACGCAGAGGCACTGCACCTCCTTCATGTAGCGCTGCAACACAGTCTGCTGCGCCGCTGGCTTCGGCCCCTCCTTGTGCACGCTGAAGTATTCGATGGCAAAGCCGTGGCAGTTGCTGAAGACTTCATTAAGCCCCGCCGCCCATGCACGACTCGGGTGATCACGCAGCGGCACCACCGCACGAATGACACCGAGGCTCTCACGCCACGCCAACTCCGGCGGTGGCGGCAGTGCAGCAGCAGCAGGAACTCTACCTCCCTCCTCTTTGTGATGTTGTTCCCCATTTCCTGCTGCTGCTGCTGCTGCTGCTGGTGGTGGTGGTGGTGGTGGTGGTGGTGGGTGGCGCTGCCTCAGTTTGTACAGACTCTTGGCGGAGAGCACTAGTTGTGTGTCGTACGCGTCGGGGAAGACGTCGCACTCACGGCCACCAAAGATTTTGTGTCGCACAACGGTGCTGCCGGTGATGTACACATCGCCGTTCTTCTCAAGAATGGGCGTCACACTCCGCCCGCTCATGCCTCAATAAGCTCCCACAACACAACACAACTAACTATACGATAAGAATAAAGTCTCAGCTTTCGATATGCACCTCTGGATTTGCGTCCCACCACCCCCCTGCGAGAGAGACACGCCCTCTGTTTTTTGCGTCAGTCGATATGGCCTACACGAGCAGAGAGAGATGGAGAAGAAAGAAAGGAAAAATGCTGAAGGAATAAAGGCCCTCACCACGACCAAAGGAAAAAAACGGTACGGCAACATCTAGGGAAAATAATTGAGGGAGAAGGAACGTCTATCTCATTGGTCTCTTGGCCTTTACTTTCTCCTGTTGGCCTCGGCGTGTGTGGCCAACACACGCGCAATGAGCCGATCGCACCACCGCAAGTGTTTCTCCAGAAGCACCTCGTCCTCCGGTATCTGCATCAGTGCCGCACCCACCCCACCGTCCCGCGCAGGGGGCGCAGATATTGCAGCACACGACACCTCATCTTTTGATTTCTTCTCTTGTTGATGTTCATTATGACCTTCTGTTTGTTTTTGTTGCTGTGCTGCGAGTTTCTTGCGTGCGAGGCGCTGGCGGAGGTCCTGCCACGTTTTGGGCACGCGGCGCGAGGCGTAACGCACAACATCGGCGTCATCCGCCGGGTACCGCAAGGCGTGGGCAACAGCAACAACACCCTGCGCCACAGCCTCTGGCGAGTAGCCGCCCTCCAACGCCACCACAAGGCCCGCAGGCCGCTGCTGCTGTATGCAGAAACGCTTTAGTGCCCGCACAGCATACGCGAAGCCGCCCTCCACTGCCATGCGGCCAAGTGGGTCGCCGTACGCCGCGTCAAACCCGAGTGACAGCAACACAATGTCTGGACGGAACTTCTGCAGGCGCGGTAGGAAGACATCATCCACCACCCGCTCAAAGACGGCGTCGCTCAGCACCTCCTCGCAGCACGACGGGTCGCTGGCGCCTGTGTGGACGGCGACGTTGCAAACGTTGTGGTGGCGGCCCACATAGGCGGTGTCACCGCGTGGGTCGCACGGGTAGAAAGTACCGTGGTCGTAGCGGTGCAGCGATAGGTACAGCAGCGGCGAGACCGACGCCGTGCCGTACGGTGACTCCTCCTCCACGAATGTCTGTGTCCCCTCCCCATGGTGCACGTCGAGGTCGACAATCGCGATGTGAGGCGGAGCACTCTTTGCACCGTTGCTTTTGCCGCTGCTGCGCCAGTCATGCAGCAGCTGACGTGCAGCAATGGCGACATTGTTGGCGAGGCAGAAGCCACTCGGGGTATCGGCGGTACAATGGTGACCTGGTGGACGCACAAGGCAGAAAGCGAACGATGGGGCACCACGCAATGCCCGGCGTGCTGCGTCAATCACAGCGGCAACAGCAAGGCGGGTTGCAGTGCTACTGGTGCCATCGTTGCAATATACGTCCGTCTTTAGTGGTGGGGCCAGCGCAGTTCCGTGTTCAACAAAGTCGTGGTACCGTGCTGTGTCGTGACACAACGCAAACTCGTCGAGCGTCGCCAGCCGTGGCGAAATCCAGCACGATTCCAAGGCAGGCGTCTGAGGATCCACATCACTCTTAATGGCAGTAGCAGTCTTAGTCGTACCTTTTGCCTCAGCCACTGCAGTTGTAGTTGTTTCCTTCTCTTCCCCCTCCTGGCGGCGCAGCTCTAACGGGAGCAGCTCCATGGCCCGGGGGGCCGCTTGGAGGGACTCCACTGCACGCTGTAGGCGGTACGGCGTCTCCGGCACACGGTCGACCGGCGGCACGTGCAGCAGCATCCGCGGGTCGTACGCCCACGCCACTGTCGCATCAGGCGGCAGCAGCATCAACGACGCCATGTCGCCGGCACCGCCGTTTTCACCTTTGCTGATAATGCTACTCGCCGCGACGGCGCCGGCAAGAAAGATTTCCGCGCCGTGCTGTAGCTTCCCAAAGAGCGTGAGACCTTGGGCATCTACTAGGCCCTCTATGGTCTCCACGTCCACACCGACACGCTCAGCCACCCGTTCAATCGGCTCCTCCAGCTCGCCGTGGCGGATGCTGGCGGTTGTGCGCAGCTGCGGCGGCAACAAACGCCGCACTGTGACTTCCCCGTCGAGCCGCACTCTACACACCCTTGTCCGCTGCTGCTTCATCATCACTACCCACAGCGTACACACGTGTGTAGACAGTGAGTGAGTGAGTAAGAGAGAGAAAGAGGGAGAGGAAAGAGGGGTGTGGCCAGCTACTGCTGGAACGACTATGTCTGCAGTTTGGTGAAACCGCGAGTTCAAGACCCAAGTGCCAACAAAACCGTTCTTGACGGTACTTTTGTCTGTCGCTGTCGGAATCAAAGAATATAAACCCGTTACGCAAACACGCGCACCCATGGTTAGCATCGGGTGGTGTTGTTGTCGATGTTGCCGTTGGTATTGCTGCTGCACTCAGCGATCCTCCTTTGCGCTCTTGTTCTTCGTCATGAGAAAGAGGAGAATTTGCTGCAACGCCCATTCCGCTCCGAGTGGCCCATCGTATGGTGGGCGAAACCACGCTCGGCGCCGCGCTTCAGCAGTACCGGCTGTAGCGGCGGGGGCTTCTCCTTTTGTCGTACTTTCCCACCCCCCATACCACAGCACCTTTTCGTGTGCAACGGATGGCAGTATACCAACACCACACTCCATTGCAAAGGGGAGATCGTTACAGTCGTCGAAAAGTGCCACCGCGTGTGCCTTCACACACCGCGGCACTGCTGCAGCCTCGCACTCATGCAGAATGTACTCCATCACCTCCTTCTTGCCGCAACCTGCCGCGTGCACGTGGCCCTTGCCCAGGTTGACGTGCATCACGACCCCATATGGCGGGCCCCACGTCGTTTCAAACCGCCGAATCAAGTAGTGCTCCGCCTCCGTCGCGTTGGCGAAGCGGCCGCCGCTCACCACGGCTGGGCTGTTGGCGATGTCGATAAAAAAAGATGTTGTCGTCGCCCTGTCGTCGACAGTGAAGCCGTCCCCACGCACCAGCTCGCACACCTCCCACAGCGGCCCCCTCTTTGGTGCCTCTTCAGCCGACGCACTTGCACCCGTGACGGCGCTGAAGCGCTGCAGCCACACCGCGTCGAGTGGCACCTCCGCGTCGTGCGGATACAGCATTGGCAAGACCGCGTCACCACGATCAGCAGCAGCAGCATCAACAGGTGGGGCGTTAACGGCTGTCTGGGGCCGACGACGGCACCACAGTTTGCCGCCACCTTCACACGCCTCGTATGTGGCCTGCGGCAGCGCCCCACTCGTGCGGCGGCCGCGGTATGTCGTGACGCGTGCGCCGGTGATGAGGGTAACCATGACGGAGTCCGCCGGCCGAAGCACGCAGCCGTCGGTAACTACCACCTGTGGCAAATTCTGCAGCAATTCAAGGAGGAGCACCGTATCCTCTGAGATGAGGGCCCCTTGGAGGGTTACGTTGTACAATTCGTACATGCGCAGCACACGCCCACTTGGGCGGTGGCGCCACAGCTGCATCGGCAGTGTGGCAAAACGTGTGCGACGCGCCTGCGGTGTGTAGCGCCAACGAAGAAGGCGCCGCACGACATCCTCGCTGCTGTCAATGTTGGTACACAAAGGTGTATGGTTCATTCCCTTTTCTTCCTGCAGCTGCTGCTGTTGTTGCTCCTCCTCCTCTTTCTGCAAGTATGCCTCTTCTTCAAGGGACTGTTCCTCACCGCTTAGCGGCTCATACCCGAGCCCACGCATCACTGCCGCGTAGTGCACCAACGTGCCGTCAATGTCTGAAATGATGGATGTCACATCGTCCACCACCCCATTCAGAACACTTTGCTGCATATTTCACCTCTTCTTTCCTCTCTCTCTCTCTCCTACAACTTCACATGTGCCCTATCAGAAGCACGTATTGAGGAAGAAAACAGTTATGCCAAAACAGCGAGTACGCCAATCAATCGATCACTATATATATATATATATATATATATATATAGCCCATAGCGTATCATACCACAACACAAGAAACAGTATAAAGAAAACGGCGCATGCTCCTACACGATCTAGCCGCTACAGGCATCGATAAAGCGATACGGTATACACAACGTAAAAGACGATATCCATGCACGTGTGCAATAGGGAGGGAAATAACAAAAGGAAAAATAGGGGGAGGGAAATTTGCCAACTGTCACGGCGTGTCAAGCACCGGCACGCCTCGCACGTAACATCACTACAAAAACGCGTTTATCGTCATCAAGCAGCAATCTTAACAGGTAAAGAAAGCATCAACGTGTGCCATGGTAGCAATGCAGTGTTCTCCATTCAGTCACACCACACCACTATTTGGCGGTGGTGGCGATACAGTGCAAGCTCCTTCACACTTGCACAGCATGGCCTTGTAGAGCCGCCTGGAGTTGGGCAAGCAGTTCGTCGTTCGCAGCAATACTGTCGCGTAGAGCGAGTTGCAGTGCATCCCGCTCCGCCTCGAGCTCGGCTGTTCGCTCCCGTTCCCTCGCCAGCATGCACTTCACGCCAAGCATGGCGGGTGATTCTATCCGGCTCGGCCACAGCGAGGCAGGCCCAACGACGGCAACAGTTCCAGCGGAACGGCCGACGGTATTGGATGCAACACCAACAACGTCTCGCGCCGACGCGACCGCCACGCCGCTGCCGGGCGACACCACAGCGGCGGACGCTTCTGCCGCTGCCGCAGAAGGCCGCAGGGCAGTCTCAGCGAGGCAGATGTAGTCGCGCCACAGCGTCAACTCGCGCTGCCGCTCCTTGTTTTCACGCCGCAAGCGCACCATATTGCAGTGTCCTGTCTCTCGGGACTTGCGCGCCCAGCGGACGAGACACCGCAGGGCAAGCGACCGCGCAGCGCAGCGGCCAATTATATCCATAGCAGCTGCTGTCTGGGCTCGGGGGCGGGTTATACGCCTCTCCACATCACGCAGTTCGTGTGCCTGAAGCCGCATCTCGGTGATGTGTTCCTCTTCTCTGCTGTGTGTAAGCAGCAGCTCCCGTTCCAATTTATCAGCCAGTCTCACCGCACAGAGTTCTCGCGCGGTCAACTCAAGCACCTCGCGTTGAAGTTCCATATGGCGTGCATTTGCTGCACGTTCCCGCGCAGAAGCTTCCTCCGTCGCACAGCGGAGGCTATTGGTGGCCTCCTCACGGACTTGATGCAGGGTACTCTGCTCCTCTTTCAAGTGAGTCTCCAGCGCCTGCACCTGCGCAGCCAGCTCCCCTTCACGCTCCCGAGAATCAGTCTCCAAAGCCTCATTATTCCTGCGGAGGCCCTCCACTGTCGCCAGTAGCTCACACTTGGCGTTGGAGAGCTCCAGAGCCTCTCTCTCCAGGCGCTGCTGGAGATGGTCAACCTCTGCCTGATAGCTTCGCGGCAATTCGTCGAGGACTTTGTCTCTCACTTCGTTACCCACTGAAGAAATCGACTTCATCTTGTCCATTAGCCGTCTTCGGCCCAACCAACGAAGGCGTAACAAGCGGGACCGGCGGTGCAGAGTCCTTTCATGCCATCGTCGCCGCTCCGTCACCGTGATAGTTGCGTTATCTGTGCGATTGGGCATTCCATGTAGACCAACCAATACTGTGGAATCGTTCCTCATTGTCTCCACAGCACCATTGCGGTGGGCCGTAGAACAGGCCTCTGCAATGCAGAGCGCAACCCTGCAATGTGTCTGCCAGAGCTCGCACAGGTGTGCACGCTCCTCCATGACAAGGGAAATACGGGTCACGTACTCCGCAGCGATAAGCTCACGCACGGGAGATGAGTTGAGTACGTCATTGGCGACTTGATGTTGCTCATCATCATCATCATCATCCACGCTCTCTTCAATAACGCTCACTAATGGGATTACCTCACGTTCAAAGTGGCTCTCTTCAACTGGATCAACTGGCTGATGCCACGCCTCGTCCATCAATTCATTCCCTTCAGGGCTCGTTACAACAGCACTTCGTCCACCCTTCATCTCCACAGCTGGTGGTTCTGCTTNAGAAGAGTTTGTCGTCTTCGCTGTTGGTATCGAAACGGGCCAGCACATCTCGATATCACTACCTTCTTTATTGGCGCCTTCTGTTGCCTCTGTAGTGCCAGACCTCCCTTCTGCTATTGCATTGCTTAATGTCTCCCCATCGCCCAGAGGCATCGGTGTCAATGGAGGAATAATGACTGCGCAATGTTCCAAGAGCACCACTGGAAAAACGTGTGAAGGAGAATTTGTCTGAATAGCTTTATCACACACTTCCCTCAAGCTTGGTGGCTGCTGTGTCAGTATATTCTCTCGCATGTCATCTGTAATCCCCATTGAAATTGCACCACACTCCGCGTATCCTGTAGTCGGTCTTTTCTGACCAGGCTGCTTCGCTTCCATGACAGGTAGCGGCACGAATGGGGTCAGACGAATTGCTTTGGCTGACTCTTCCTCCTCGCTCAACTCCCGGTGAAGACGCGACGGAGGCTTTGGCCATGCTGCTGCCAATTCTTTGACGTCGTTGTGCGGCTGAGGCATCAGGGGCTCTCTAGCCAAGGGTGTCGCCATCATCTGCAGTCGCTGGAGCACATGTTCCGCCACAGCGAGTGTTTCTTTTTCCTCCCCCGCCTTCTCACCATCATCTCCCGTTGGAGCCGCAGAGAGCTGCGTTCCTATAGGCGAAGCTCCGTCTTCTCTGAATAACTCACTGTCACCAGACTCTTCCACTGGCGGGGCCTTGTACTCGCCCGCGTCATCGGGTCCGCTACCCGCGCGGCCCAAGGGTTTACCTTCCAGATCCAATGCACGCTTAAGCAGCAGTGCACGACTATGACGCGTGGACTCGGGCTGCAGTTTTCTGTGTGCAGCTGCCGCAGTTGTTCGGTACGCGACGGTNCAGCAGTGCACGACTATGACGCGTGGACTCGGGCTGCAGTTTTCTGTGTGCAGCTGCCGCAGTTGTTCGGTACGCGACGGTGAACAGACGTACTGGTCCCGCCGCTGTGTGTGAGGTGGGCTTCGTGCTGCTACTGCCAGGGTTCTCGCTTATGCGTTTCGCGCCTAGATTCGAATGTGCTCTTGCCCCCTGGCGGTGAGGGTGCAGAAGTACGTCCCCATCCGTCGCTGTGTGGCTTGGGGATGAAGAATACGGCACGGAAGACGATGAAGCAGCATTCTGCTCTTCGCCCCCGTTGAACGGCGAAAACGCGCTATCAGCCTTCAGTTTTTGTTGCAGTCGACTGTTCCACATCTCCCAGCGAGCCAACATTTCCTTGGCTTCTTCGACAGTCTCCACATCGATGGGGGGTGGCAGATTCACGTACGCGCCGCTTGGTTTCACAGCGAGGTACGCCTCTGGACCCACCGCTGCGCCCCGCCATCGGGGCAGCGCCAAATGGCGTTGCTGCTGCTTCTGTTCTTCTGTAGGCGTCGACGAGAAAGCGCCTTCAGTAACCAAGCCTTGTTTATGCAGTGTATCACTCTGTTGAGGCATTATTCCCTGTTATATGCGTCTCGCTTGATACGCATGGGAGACAAAAAAGGGAATCCATTCTGGTAACGCAAGGAGGAAGTGTGAAGCATTGCGTAACTGCTGCTACTGCACAGTCACAAATCGGTGTTGGGAGGAAACATATCAGCACACATGCGCAAGCAGTAAATCTCGGGCATAAAAATGAGAAATGGTGTATTGTTAGGTCGTCAGGCGCACCAAAGTGGTATGTATAAATAAAGCATTTGTCCCAAATGCAGTAAGGAGATGCAACAGGAAATAGGCGAAAACAACAAGGGAGCCAGGCATACCCACAATTACAAGACCCACATACCTTTGCGAAGTGCAGCAACCAAAGCACTGCAGGGCACGTGGGCATAGCTCCAAGCTGGTATCACCCTCTAGACAGATTCACACAAGTAGTACAGCCAAGAAAGAGGGACCAAAAATAGTTCATACACATCAATCTAAGTGACAAGTTGAACCTTTCATTGCAAAAAAAAGTCCAAAGAAAGAAGTGTTTTCTTCATAAGCGATCTGGAGGAGGAAAAAAAAATAAGAAACGTGAGCGAGGTGCATAATGGGAATCCCTGTTAGAGTCTCCAACGAAAACGGCAAGGGAACCCTTTTTTTTGTTCAGAGTGGTTTCTGGTGTTTTTCTCCATTTTTTTTTTGTTTTTGTATGTGTCCTCTTTTTCTCCTACCAGTCGAACACGAGGGGGAAATGTTCGGCGGAGAAGCGGTTTTTGGCAGCCGTTGGCATCTCTCCCACGCCACGGATATCCACTGCAGGGGCTTCGGTCGATATGTTTGCCGCGTCCGGGACCCCTACTGGTCTTCGGTTTTTTGACCGCTGAAACCGCCGACTATGAGGCTTACTGTCTGGGGATCTTGCAGACTCTGAGATTGAGGGCTCCATGGCAAGAGCCGTCCCTGTGGCAGCGGCAGCGCTCTGTATTGTGCGCTCTGGCATTGATACACGGACTGATCCTTCTCCTTCCCCTGAACCTCCAACTTCTGTGCCACACGTGGGGTCATCATATGAAATCCTTGGCGACCACCTCTGGTGCTTCACCCGGGGTGCGACCTCTTTTTCTACCTTTGGGGGGGCCGCTGCATTGCTTTCTGCCCTACCGCTAGGGCAACCACTCCCATCGTGTCCTTCCACGACGGGAACGTCTGGGAGAAACCAGCTTTCAGGCGGTGAGGCGGTGTTCTTCCCTCGCGCTAAGATGCCTGATGGAGCGGGAGCCAGGACTCGGTCGCCGGTCTTGGTCAAGACAAAGCTCCCGTGCACTGAAAGAGGGTTCTCCACAGATGACAACACCTTCACTTCGTCATCGATGATAACGCCGCGGAATTCTGGTTTGTGGGCTGCGGTGCTAGAGTCACTCTTCTCGGCCACACTATCCATCTCCACGGATTTGACAGCAACTGGCGGGGGCGCGGCAGCGAGGGCATCACCGTATTCTTCATTAGTGATTTGCCTACGGTCCTTTTCCTTGCCGTCACACCCACCACCCCTGTTAACCCTCTTGCTTTCGCTATTTGTATTGCCATTCTCGGTGCTATTTGATCTTTTGCTTGGCTGTAGAGTGCTTTCTATTCCTCCCATTCTTGGCAGATACTGTTGGGTGTACCACTCTGCCCTACTCCAGAATATGGGCTGGTAGAAGCTATGGTGTGGTGTATGCGGTAGAAACGGGGAGAGACAGGGATTCTGTTGAGAGAAAGGACCATAAATAGGGCCCAATGGAGATTTCATTTGATTAATGTGTTGTTCTTGTTGCGTTTTTTTTTTGTTTGCTTTTCGCTGTACCTTTGTTCTTTTTTTTTTTTTGGTGGTGTGTGTGGGAATATACGTTGTAGTGCGTCTCGAATATGTCTCTCTCCCCATCCACACACAAACTGAAGAACTTCATTTTCCCCAAACGTGGCCATCACGCACCCGCGCGGCTGCTGCCACTGCTGCGGCTGGTGGTGTTGGTCACATATCAACCCCTCTACGAGGAGGGACAGCTGCAGAACTCATTTTCACCGCTCCCAGTGTCGAAAGGACGAGGGAGGAAGGGGAAGGGAGAGAGAAAAAAAAAAAAACAATATGATAACGGAACCAGAAAGGGGGCTAAGAGCCTTGCATCACACATAATAATAATAAAAACCGACAAACGCCAACAAAAGGAAGAAAACGAAAAAAAAATGGGTGGACATAAAAAAGGACAAGTGCATGCAAACCCACTTTTGCCACTCGCAATGGCACATCCCACACGCACACCACAGGCGTGGCACATACGCAGAGAGAGAGAGAGAGAGAATGGGGGAGGGAAGCGAAAACGCATGCATCTCACACACACTATTACATTTTCCCAATTTTTCTTTACCGTCATGTTGCACGCCTCGTCGGCATTGCAATGGAATAACAGAATAATACAGCAGAAGCACACAACAAACTTTGGTCGCGCTGATAGTCACCAAATATGTCAATGAAACAATCCACACAAGAGCCCCCCACCACCAAAAAAAAAAAAAA